GGCTACTCTGTCCTTCAAAGCTTCTTCGTCCTTCAATCAACCTTTTAGTTCACTAACCATACACCCTTTTACTTCACTAACCATAAGTCGCTTGTATCCTAGACTCGGTTGTGGCTCATAACATTCTTGTAATAACCTCCTGCGCAGACTGCTACCTTATTCTATTGGTTACGGTAGCCGCATTCTTGTCATAGCTGACAAGGTGGTACAAGATACAAGTACTGCTCCTAAAGAAGCGTCGTCTTCCTCAGACCAGCTGATTATCGGAGCGTGTCCCCGAGACTACAGTACTTTCCCCATCAGCTGAGAACTTTGTGCAATGCACAGCTGAAAGAGATGGCTCAAGCACTCTGACGTTGGTATCTCAACACGAGAAACTGCCAGATAAATCGATGTCGCTTCTGATAGTCGGCTGTAGCCTTACTCCTGGTCAGCCATCCATCGCTTCAATCAGAAACACCGTGGAGGATCAGCGTATTTGCTCCGCAGTGGTTCTTTCCAGAGAGAATCTATGCTTCTTTCTAAGGAATTTTTCCTCTTGTCCTCTTGAAATGTGTCACTGAGGGCTGATCACCATTGAACCAAAGGCTAACATTTTGCAGAGGTATCCGTACGAGCGATTAGCTCAACTCTTTTATGAATTTGATGGAAGTGTCTCAACAGAAACCCAAGATCCTGGTTTTTATAAAGGGTCGGAAATTGCCATCAAGACCACAACAGGAATAGCGCCCTGCCTTTTCGTCCACTTGTCAAATTTCGTCAAATCGTGAGATAGGTATATAGATTATTGTATGTGTATGTGACCCAGGGGTGGGCACCGTGGAGACTACCATAGGTCTCCTCGGGAGGTAGTGACCAGCGGATATTAGGTGCCTGAGAAGATTGCCGAGTGGGACGGTTGACCTCCTCCTCCTCCCAGGTATCATACCCCTCCGCGATCACGTAATAAGTACCGAGGCAGGAGGAATTCATATTATATTCTATTTGTCTAGTTCGCCCGTGTCGCTACTTGATTGATTCACTATTGTGTTCCGTAGCTAATAAAGACTTCTTCTTCGCCTTTGTCTGACTAATATATTTCGGTACTCGAGACCGTATATCTTCTATACGAAGACCGACTTTGGGGAGAAGCCGGTGATACTGGATTAACAGTTACTCTTACAGTTAATGGAGCTGAAATATGTCTACATCAACGAGTGTCGGGAACGACCACGGAATAGATGAAATGGATGGTTCACAGCCTCCGAGAATTCGAGGATATAAACAAATGCCTCAGGAACATCTCAGTTTGGCTTAGCAAGGTGCTCAGTGACCAAATAAAGAATTTCTCGCGAAATAAAGAGAGGGAGGACCTCGGGAGTAAAATAAAGCTGTTGCAGCAACATGTTTCGAACCGGGCAGGTTCGTCACTGTCGGTGGCCAGAATTGCGATACCCACCGCAGGTGAGAAAGTTGATGACTGGATTGCGATTTGCAACCATTATACATCACTCAAGAACAGAGGAATTGGCAATTCTGTTCGGAGAAACAACGAATCCCGCCACATGAACGATGGACCTCGTTGCGCCTGCGTAGCATCTTCGCAAAAATCGTTTTGGCAGTCCTCGCCGGAGTCTCTCCACGGATCGACGAGTGGTGGGTACTTTTAACGCTAACACCAGTAAGGCTGTGGACCCTATCAGCCTGTTTAGTGCTTTCAAAGAGGTTTTTGAAACAGAGTGCGCGGAAGTGAGGAAATATAACGGGAAGAATTTGTTGAGCGAGTTTCTTCGGCTAGTTGACATTAAATTCCCCGTTGCACTGTGACGGGACTCGGATAAGCGCGATTTGCTAGTAAATCACTTAGAAGGGACGGCTCTGTCACTTTGAAAGGGTTTGATAAGGGTTGCAAGGACTCCAACTCTCGCTACCGATCACTGTGTCTCACAAAGTTGTTTTAGTGTTTACAAGTGAGCGAAAACTCAGTCACGACCGTCTGTAATCGGATTTGGTGATTTAGGCACTTCATAAATGAGCCAGGAGCCTAAACGCGTCCAAATGGTATTAGTCGCGCAGGTGGGCACATTTATTGACTCTTGTCACTGCCGTGTTTGATTGCGACGATATATCAACTACATGAGTCAGGGGTCTACTCTTCCGGACATTTGACTACTCAGTAATCGTTCTGACCCGTCTGCTGCGCAGTTGTCCACGTGCTTCAGCCAGTTCTCCACCATCAGGCGGGGCAAACGACAACTGGTGGAGAGCGGGTTGGCACCGTGCCAAACTCAGCCTTCTGACCCGCCCCAGCGTTTACAGCGAACATAACCTTTACTAGCCCGAGTAGTACATCTATCTTAAACAATGCATGTACACACTCACAGAGATCGATTATCCAGAGTGCCATTTACACGGGGAATCTTTGCGTACTGAATGGAGCAAGTAGTTCGAAGAGACGAAGAGATCAAAGTTTAGAAATGAGTTTTCTGAACTCCGCTCGCTGGAGTAATCTGGGCGCTGTTGAGGACAGAATCGCTCATCGCTTCGTGAACGTTCCTCGCCCACGTTATGCCATACTGCCTGCTCTCGCGAGTCTAGTACGGGCGTCACACAGGCTATGCTCCTGAAATGAAGCTACCTCCAATGCTTGCCACACATCAAAAGTAACAATTTAAGCGCATTTGCTCGTGGAGTATACAAGCGTACCAAGCGAAGTTTCGTATAGAACACTTCATGAAAATCTGCAAATTTCTCTAAACAGAGTGAGACCTGTTAGTCAAGGTGAACTAGCAAAAGTGCAAAGTGCCCCTCCTAAGCCATACAGAACCGATTGGCAATATGATGGAATAAGAACGTCACCAGCAAAAAGCTTCATCCATTCGCCCTCGAATGTGTTCGGAATACTGCTTCCATTTCCGATCCCGTTCCGGCGGGGTCGGCGAATACATCCGACACATCCTTATCAATTCCCAATACTGAAAATTTCGTTCAATTAGTCCGCTTCTTCCTGAGGGAGACTTAGCGCTAGCTGAACGCTTGACGTCTTTAGTATGATTATCAAAAATCCACCGCAATTTTCAAAGGCCAAAAAAGCACTATTTCCGTCATAGTTGCCTCGCTAGTCATGCCTACGTGAAAGGCGATGGAGAGTACAAGAAGAAAACACAACAATTTACTGCCGATTTTCACTACTGAGGGATTAACGAGCAATCAGACGAAGGAGAAGGATGATCTAATGAGTCCAACATATCGGAAAATACAGGCAAAATAATAATAAAAATAAATGACGGCTTGCACGTGACAAGTGCAGCTGACGCGGCGCGGCCGCATGACTTCAAATCCTGCAGCGAGCGCGCACAGATACAACCATGCCTCAACCTTGTAACGGTAAGTGCACCCGCGATTCCGTTGGGAAATAAGCAACGACTGGCGTACATCCGGTTGGCCGGACGCGCGTCGTCGACTCGCTTGGTAACCACACTACCGGCGCGCAGCATCCTATCCATAGACCGCTCGAGCCCGCCGGATCGGGAGGCGGCACTCGACGTATGATCCTCTGGCTCGGTCATACACTTTTGAGAGCACAAAGTAGCATACTGCTGCAGCTGCGGACCTATTGACCTCGCTTATGCAACCCCGCTGGCTGACAAGGAGAGCAGGAACCACGGAAGTGAGTGTACAGTTTGCCCTAAAGAACATCTGTAAGAGAGCTGGCTAATCTTAACCATTTGGAATAATTCCTAGCTGAAGCTGGTTCTAGAGCACGGCTACGCAACATCCATCACCATCTTCGGTTTGTAGGTTCTGAAACAAAAAAAAAAAACACTATAGTATGCAGGAGTTGTCAGACATCCTCTCTGACCTTGTTGGATTCTAACCAGGTCCATGGAACTGAATAAAAGTAGGTGCAGTCGGTGTCGTTGTAAGGGGGTGTCAGGAGGCATGAAATAGGCCCACCCGCGCCACTTTCTACCGCTGGTTTTTTCATTCTGAATCGATGACTAGCCGATCACTATCGGTAGAAAAGTCAGAGGCAGGCTCACTGCACCCTCTCGACACCGCCACCAATGAGTTAATTAATAATAGTACCTATATATTGGACAATCTCCGGAGAATGCTGCATAGGGTAGAGTCCACAAGTGTTCAATATCGTGATAACGCCGAATGAATGATGCCAAATACGATAAACCTTCGGACATTGAACAATCAATGATACAACCGTTGCCACCTGAACTTTTGATTTCTGAGGAATTTTAATGAGGGCATTTAAACGTAGCCGTGGAGATGGGGCGACATACCGTTCTTCTCTCTTCTGAATAGGGCCGCCACAATACCAAAAGCAGCAGTCAGTCCTCCACCAGCAAAGTCAGCGAGTAAGTTGGCCGGAGGCCAAGGTCGATTGCAGCTGTGACCGGATGTTGTAGGTAGCAAGCCTAGAGATGAGAAAGCACTCAAGAAAACATGATGTTGAGCGTAGAAGTGAAACTGGGTACCAGTAATTGAAACGTAGTTGATGTCATGTCCAGCCTCTTGAGCTAATGGACCAGTCTGACCGTAGCCGGTTAGGCGGCAGACTACCAATCCTTTGTTCTCCTGAAATTGATATAGACTATCAAAAACCGCTAGTCGAACAGTTGAGTTTAGTTGGTTGCTGCAATGCAACCTTCTACTTCCAAAACTATTTGCGATCCCAAAATAGAGCAGGTCTTGGTGACGGGGAAGGTTCGATCAGCTCGACCATCACCCCTATACTAACAAAGCTCCTTTATCCTCAAAATTGAATTTCACTCATCTAATTACACCAAATTCGCATGAAAATCATCCACTGGTGGCAAGGAGCACGGCAGAAGGTGAAGAGTACATACTCGACTGTGGCGATCCTTTCCTTCCCAGTATTCACAAACTATTCATTTTACGCAGACCGATTTTCTCACCTTGTATACGGACAGCATGATTCAGCAGTACTTACCATTAGACAGCGAATATAAACACTATTTACCCTTCACAGCCATAACCATCTGGAATCGGGGTCAGTTTTTTGAGCTGGCACTTTTTCCCGTGATAGACCAAATGTCGCCTAATGGGTAGTTTGACCTCCTGAATACAAATATCACATCCGCTGGCCTCCTGGCGGCCGAGTTGAGTGGACGAGAACGAGAATTCCAATGATGGTGCAGTGCGGAGAATTAGATCTGTACAGGACATACCATCTCTGAGGTGTTTTCAAGGGGACATCGTAGTTGAGCCGTTAAGAAAAAAGGTGAGGGTCCTGCTCAGCTTGCTGATTATGAGATTTTTCAAGAGCTATTTGCTTTAGAGCGAAGTTTCCTGGGCCTCTCCCCCTTTCTTTCCCACCCAATCGCGACGCAGTTTTTTTTGCTGCGAATTGAAGGGAAGAGGTGGTGCGAAGGGTGACTGAAGTGGGATTGTCGGTTGAACATTAGTTGGAAAGAAGGCTACTTGCATGGTGTACACAAGGAACCCAGCTCTTGTTGCCAGCCGTAATGTCTCACAAAAAGTCCATGCAATGTGTACAGCGAAGAGGGAACTCAGTCACGACCATTCGGTGCGCTTTGCCAGTTTGGTGCAACCCATGCGGCATCCTTAACGGAAAATTCTCCCAATAGCAGAATCGCAACAAGCATGGTAGTTGTCACTCAGATGCAGCCTACAGATGTTGCCAACCTACGGATGGTAAGTTTAGCTGCGACTCTAGGGGGTTGAGCAAACGGGTCATTCGATGCATGGTGCTCGACGTACACGTTGCCTCCCTTCAAATAAAGTAACTCCAGCTTGCAAACGCCGATACCAACGGGAACACCCCGGGACACCGTAGCATGGCAGGCGACATCTTTCCTGATGACGGTGCAAGTGTTAGCTCCCTCGACTACGACAAAGTGGCCTACAGGAACTCTTAAGATGGGAAAAAGTGGGTCGAAAAGTATCATCTTGACCCTTAGAGGACTTTTAAGCTTCAGAATCATCAACAAAGCCATAATATACCCGTCTTTGAAACCTCAGAGAATACTCCTCATTACTAGAGGCTATTAGAGGGTGAAACATCCGTTTTTTTTGTTTTTTTCCTGGAGCCCAAATTATGGAGAACCATTTTTCAAGCCTAATATTTCTCATGGTTTGATTGTGTTAGCGGCGAACGCAGAGAAAAAGCAAAGTGGACGCATGTGGAAACGTTACTACAGGGGACACCATGGAGATTATCGATGTTTGACTATCAGCGTAGACTTTGTGTTAGAACAAACGCGCCTTCAAATGCTTCACCTTGTGGTGTAGTTTCTGGGTGCAATTTCGAACGATGGTCAAGCTTCAGCTCCGATCGCGCCAACAGTTACTTACAGATTAGAGTAAATGGACACTGGGGGATGTAAAAAAAGCGGTTAATTATCATGATGGTTCGGCCGTGCGTTCCATGCCGATATCTAACGATTACGGCGTGACCGGCTCACCAATTAACGTGTAGTGCATGTAAAGTACGCATAAGCCGTTCAAGCGAGAGGTAAAAGGCAGCCCCTGGTGGCGCTAACGGATAGCGCCTCGCCCGGAAAGCTGACGTGAGGTGCGGTTCGCACTCCCGCCTGGAGGGACAGCTTATTGCCACAATCAGCATTCTTGTCTAAACAAAAGCGATTTGGCATTGAATCGCATAGCTTGCTGCTGATCGCGCACAAACACATTGTACCCACCAATTCAAAATCATGAAGGCTTTCGAGTGCAGCGCGCGGCCTGTATAACCACTTGGGTGGACCGACCGATCTTTGAGCAGGTGTTCTTTCCTCCTAGACAAGTGTGTACCAAGAAGTTTTCAGAATCAGAGAAAACCTTAACTGGCGTGTAAGAGACCCGATCTGCCAACCCCAAGAAAGCAACATATGATAGGCAGTGACTGCCGACTGCCTATTGGCCTGCCATCCACGCGCCACACAGAAGCATACAATAATTGAGAAGGCGAGAAGGCAATTGAGATGATTGGCAGACAGCAGTGAAGATCTTTAGAAACCTTACTTCGAGTAACTTGACTGGATCAAGACCCATTTGTTCCAGAACACCTGGACGATAGGGATCGAGAAGCACATCACTGGTTCGACAAAGTTGTTTCAGTTTCTCCACGTCCTGTGGTGATTTCAGATCCAGTCCTTGCAGTGTTTTCCTCTCTGCCATACGCTGTTCTACTGGCATGTCATCATCACGAATAGGCTGAAATCCCTCATTTTCTGTATTCTTTCATTGAAATCTTTGAATCTGACAAACCTTTTCTATGACGGTGACACTGGCCCCAAAATCAGCCAACACCATTCCACAGTGTGGCACAGGAGCGAGTCCGGCCAATTCGATCACCCGAATTCCATGCAGAAGGGTGCGATTCATCAGAGCTTCTGAGAGGAGCATCTTTCAAACAGGTGAAATGTAAAAAGCGGAAACTTCACGCAAAGTGATTACAAAGAATTTTACGAGGTCAGTAACGATACATTAATGGTCTGAGAGATTCGCTACGCATTCGCTCACATTCGGAATTTTGATATGAAAGACAGCCCCCGAGTTAAGTAATATCGTGCATCGTCCTTCGCATTGTGCAAGCTAGTCCAGCCCAGTTAAGAGACTATTCTCACTCTCGCGGATCCTCAACAACAAGCGAGGAGCGTGCTACAGCCGCCGAAGGTTCTAGTTCTAGCGCCCCCTCAGTTGGACCGCCCACTTGCTAGATGCCTTCTGACGGGACGGGCCGCCGCTCAGTTGTTCTTTGTTGGGGCGGCGGGCATTAACCGGAATCGAATGTTTTTTTTTTGCTGATCGCGCTCCTGCCCATGAACAATTTCGCTCTCCTTTTTATTACACATTTATCTTAGCGAGTACATGCAGTCAACTGCAATTTCATCCCGCAACGTAAAAATTCAGCGAGTTCATGCCATTTTCCTTGTGGCAAAAACCCGAAGCTTTAAAGATGCACGCTACCGTACTCCTAAAGTCGTACGCTTTTTCTGGAAGTTTCCTTTTGTTAAAATTCTTTTCTTTGCATTGTATGATATCTACTACTGGGAAGTGCGAAAAAGCGATTCGTGAGCCAGACGTTGCCTCAGAGACCGTAAGGCGTCTGTGCACTGCTCAGAGCGATATTTGTTTTTATGGATGTTTCTGTTCAGAACTCTGCCTAGGCTTTTTTTTAGGGCGAATTACGCAATCAGCTACGTCTTAATCAATTAACAGCAGCCTAGCAATGACACTTGAAGCAGCGGGAACTGGCTCGTTAAATCACGAATTCAAAAACGTGGTTATATGTAGAAGAGAGGCAGGAAAAGAAGGAAACTAGGAGCTATATCTGGAGCGTAGTACGACCAGCTACGTACATTTTGATCAAATTTAGACAAAATGGCCATGGCCATTTAGACAATAGATGAAAACATAGACCTCGAGAAACTGAAAAGGAGGATGAGAAAACAGAATCAGCGCTTTGCGCGCACTTTGGCGTCATGAAAGTGAGCACAGTATAAACGGCGCCTCACATCCGTCATCCCCAAATGGGCCAGCATCGTTAATCTCCGAATGTAACTTGTCCCCAGCATCTTCAACGTGAGTCGGAGGCCCATCGTTGACACAGTGACGCTGCCAATAATGTGGATTTCAGGACACCTAAGCAGCTAAAAGCGACAAGCGGCGACGACTTTAAAAGCACCTTCGGAAATTTAGTATACTTTAGTTAGTACCGGATACGCTTTTCCCAACTTAACATGAGTTATGGGGAAAAAAGTGTTGTTTTCAGAGAAACAGAATGAGCAGCATTTGTTTTCATTCGTTTCTGGCCAATGCTACTGTAGGTACCGTGAATGTGGGTGCTGGTAATGGAGCGCTTACCATGCGCATGCTCTCGAGGTACACTCCTTATCCCTGAGCCAGAGTATGTGCGGCCCACTTGAACATAGCACGGAATTTGGTTACTCGTGGAATATTCCAGTCTGGGACAACTGTCATCTTGTTCTGTGTTGGACAGAGACACGACAACAATTGTGTCAAGATGAAAATATCTCACCAGAAGCATAGACACCTTCAGGTTAAGAAGCATGCAGCCACGCCTACCCGATCTCAGGGATTTTGAGTATAAATTCTAGGATCGACTCTCCCAAAGAATTATTCCATCTCTCGGAGAAACTAGCATTAGATTTCAGTGGAAGGACAGAAACACTGGCAAGAACACCTGCTCATCTCATTACACAGGCTGAATCGCGTGCAAAAGTCTATTCTGAATGGAAGTAGTCCCCGTGGCGCATCCCTAAATGGGATCTGCCAATGCCGGAAGACTCCTATTTTGTTCAGTCTAAGTAGCACAGCCTGCCTGACGCTATAGAAGAGAAAAAAGGTCGATCCGAACACTCGTGATATAGCAAGCAATCAAAGGCACGCTCCGCGATAAACTTAAGCTATAACCTCTCAACTGAGTCAGATGATCCGGTAGGCAATTGTGGAGGCCGTGCTGCATTCAAAAGTGAAAACAAGCAAGAATTCCAGTTGAAGCTGGAGAACTAGGCCCATGAACACCCCTTACACATTCCTCAGTGGCTGCT